AGAAGCGCAATTTACTTTAAGGTAAGATTTACGTTTAGGGTTAGGTTTAGGGTTAGGTTTAGGGTTAGGTTTAGGGTTAGGTTTAGGGTTAGGGTTAGGTTTAGGGTTACGTTGCAGCGCGCTTCTGTCGGCGCGCTTTTGTCGGCGCTCTTTAGGGCTAATTAGTCGCTCATTCGTCGCGCGGTTTTGTCACCGCGCTTTAGACACCGCGGTTTAGTCAGGCGCGCTTTTGTTGTGCGCGCATTTGTGGTGGAACCGCCTGAAAGTACCCTCTCCTATCTCTTTTACAACCCGAGAATCTCCTCTGAGCTTCTTGTCCTGCCCATTATCCAACTGCTGGTTATGCTGTCTCTTATCTGATTGTTCCCTAGGCCTTGCCTCCCCAAATCTTTCCCACATATCCTTACAGGCTAAGAGGACTGCTTAGGTAGAATGCTGCCCTATTTATAAGTGGAATACTCCTCCATTTAGCAGTTCTCGCTCCCAGTCTAATGACTGTTGAGTTGGTGACCTCTCAAATATAGGTTTTTCAGGACTTGGTTGCAGTCTCATGATTAATATTGCATCTGATTTGGCTCTGATAAAAGCAACAATAACAAATAAATGCAGGTGAAAGAAGCACTGGGTGTGTTAGTGAAATTACATGGTTATTTCTTACAATGTTTTAGCAAATAGTTTGCTTGAAACATCTCTATTTCATAATCCTCATGAATTTTCATGAGGTCTATGTAATGCTAACCAGCAAGTATTATATAATAAGAAATGAATTATTTACTCTTTTGTAGTGTCACAAATATACTAGAATGTTTTTACTGCAGAATATGTCTGGTTTTTCAGTATAGAGCAGGAGCTTCCTGTTTATAGGACTGTTTAATATATGCAATGATTCACTTTCAAAGTTCTGCAGGCTATTCATCAACAGTGAAATATTACCACATCAGTGTGTGAGAAAAGACTGGTTGCTTTCATTTAACGTTTTAGGAACTGCCTCAGCATGGTAGTGGTGCTCATCTTAATGGTTCAGCCTTTGCTGCTCAGTTTGACTCTTCAGGAACTTTAAAGGACTTTTGAAGGCATAAACACCCATAATAATTCATTAATATTGATTGGAAATGAACAAACATTTTGTGCCAAGAGTTAATGTGTAATATGTAAAAGTATACCATGGGGGGAAAGCTTTGGATTTCCAGCTGATCTTTTTCTCTTTTGATGTGCTTTGTGTTTGTTTGTAATCTTTCATATACATGCATGCACACAAACACATGCAAATGTCTATTTTTTGCATTTTTATTTTATATATGACAAATTTTGATCCTACAAAAGTCAATGAACTTCAACTCCTATGATTCCTTGATAGCGTGACTAGGGATGCCGCACTAAAGTCAACAACATGGGAAGGCTTGTAAGTTCCTCACCCTGATCTATCCCATTAACTTACTAAAATTTAAGGGTATACAAAACAGTTTGACTTCAGGATGTTTTCTACTTGAATCATCTCCCACTTCTAATTTGAAATGGGTAGTTTCAACCATTCCAGAAGTGTTTTAAACATGAAAAGAGCCTTTGCATCAAAATGAAAACATCTTGCAAAACCATTTGTAGAATGGTTGAAATATCCCATTTTGAACTTAAACATTATGAATGCAAAACATTTTGCAGAATGCAAAAGACTTGGAGAAAAAAATTGGAACTTCATTACTAATTATAAGTTGTCAGCAGCAAATCTCTTGTGTGTACAAAAATGGAAGGGCACTTCGATTCCTACCATGGACGAATGGTTGCAGAAGCTGGTGGAGTTGACTGAAATGGCAAAATGGACTATTTTGATTGAAGAAAGGAATATAAGTACTTTTGTTTCCACATGGACACCGCTTCTGAACTTGAAGTGGAAAAGAATGAAACTTTGATTTTGGGTTTTACCATTTAGATTGATAGATCCTTATAGAAATGGCTAGTTTATATTATTATGAAAATACAAAAAGTTGTGATTTGATGTTAATGCCTTATTTTACTGCAACAGAGTCAGAAATCAATGTTTCTTTTTCTTTTCCCTAATCCTTCCTCACTTTTCTCCCCTCCTTTCCTCCCCACTGTTTTTCTATTTACTTTAGTATTTTGTATCTTATTTTATCTTATAACTCAATAACTGGGGAAAAAAACATTTTGCGCGCATATACTAGAATTGTATAACTGCCTTTGTATGTATAACACTTGCTTTAGGCTTGTCAGCAAGAGTAGAATTAAGTTGAAGACTGCATAAATCAGTTTGTGTGATTTAAGGATAGCAGATAAAATAGGAAGATTATCCAAGATAACAAGAAAATTACTTTTCTTGTATAAATTAAAAGAGAAGCATAGAAGTTTACTCCTCTGGAATAATTCCCCTTGAACGTATTTTATTTTGAAATTAGTGCCAATAATACTGAAACATGGTAGTTTTAGAGTATGTTTGTTTTTCATTTGTTTCAAACAACCTTTTACTTTTTAAATTATATACATATTCACCAATCTTAATCATATTCATTCATTCACTCATTCATTCATAAGGGGTGCGATGTCCTAGCAGTTAAGACACTGGGCTTGTCAACTGAAAGACTATGAGTTCAAGACTCAAGTACTCAGTGATGGGATGAGTTTCCGTCCTTGTCCAAGCTCCTGCCAATCCAGCATTTTGAAAGCATGCAAATGCAAATAGATAAATAGGTACCACTTCAGTGGGAAAGTAAAAATGTTCCATGCATCTCGGGGAATAGTCATGCCAGACACATGACCATGGAACCATCAATATGATATTGGCTATGTAATAGTATACATGTGATTATATGTTATGAAAATGGATAATAAAAATATATATTTCAAAAAGGAAATAGAGATGAACTCTTCCCCCTAGAGTCAGATATGACTGGACAGGAGGAAACCTTTATTTACTTTTTTACTTTTTCATTCATTTGTATCCTGCCTTACTATTTTCACAAGTAACTTCAGGCAGGAAACATATCAATACACATTCCTCCTCCTATTTTCTGCACGACGACTCTGTGAAGTGAGTTGGGCTGAGAGAGAATAACTGCTCCCAGCTCCTATTATCCCTCTAAATACTTGTGTGCAAATATACCAAGTATACTTTTTTGCCCCCGTTGCTTTATGCTACTATAACTATTTTGATGTGTTTCTATTTAAAATCACATTCTCTATATTAAACAGGACATTGTGTTTAGCAGTTTATTTTATGTAATTTAATTTGTAAAAACAAGTTTGCCGATCCTACTTTAAAAGTAATATTTCTTCTCGATTCCATTCCCATAAATGCACCATTATTATTATTTATTTTCTTTGAGCAAGAGTATGGATTGGAAAATTTTCCTTTCTTTTTTTTTCTAATCTTATATTACTAAGGCCTTTCATTGTCCACAATCCTCTTAATTTGAGTCTAGGTGTGTGTGGGTGCGCGCGTGCACATATTGTTTATGGATGTTTTCAGCCTTTAACTCCATGACATAAAGATATTTATTTATGAATTTGAAGCTTGTGGAAAAGAAACATTTATATTTTCTGGTGTCACAGTTTCACGGGGTTATATCACAGTTCACTGAGATGAGCAATACTGTGGTTTTCAATTTATATTCTTAACTCCCTCTTTGAGTAAAAACAATGTGCATTACCTCCAAAAGAGCCAGCTAGAGGTCTGAAAAGGCACTGTGTTTGGGGAGAAATCTCTAGAAGACAAATCATGTCTCAACTCATAGTTCATTTGTGGGATTTGAAGGGTATGTAAGATGTCAGCAAGATGCTAAATGAGTAAGAGAAAAGGGCTTCAACTAATTTGATATTCTGGACATTAATGGCTGCCACACATGTGCTAAAGAATACAAAACAAACTCTTTCCTATGCAATTGCACTAATCTTTACAGAAAATTAAAACTGAATAGGATCCAAACTACAACGGCTCATGTGATCTCTTTTCTTGCTCTAGGCATAGAAACACATTGATATCTTTGCACTTGTGATTTAAATGTAATTAAATCAGTTCATTTAAACCGTGATACTTTTATTCTTTCCTTTCCCTCCTTTCCTTTATCCTTGAGTCTTTTTTTCCCCAGTACATTTCCTCTATTTTAGTTCTCCAACATAACAAATATTTTGTGAGTTCCATTTTATTCTGCACATAAATTGTATGCAACAATGACATAATCTTTTCTTGATTTTGAACACATTATTTGAAGATGGGGTGGTCTTCTATGTCCATATTTTTAAAAACTATCCACAATTTCTTGTAGTTGATCAAAGGTCTAAAAGCATAATAGCACAGGAAAGCAAAAAAAACACACAAAAAACCCTAACAATTCTTTTTCCTCTTCTGTTGTCCATCGGATATTTGAAAGTGACCTTAGCTATCTATTCCTTTTCTGAGATTAGTTTCTGCTTCTATAAAAAGTTGAGAAACATTCATTTTATTTTAACTAAATGACTTTTTAGATCCAGGGCAGAAAAACCAATATACACACCCTGGGTACATGAAGATACTACTTTCTATACCTTTATTTCAATCATTTCATTTAATTGTTGAATGAATAAGAGAAAGGAAAAGCATGAAAAATGATCATATCCAAAAATTATCTTAAGCTTGTGTTACTTGAGAGTTTCATATAATTCAAGACATTACTTTTCATAGGATGAATTAGATGTTCACTTTACAACACAATACTTGGCTATGGACTGGATGAAAAAATAACTAGAGCAACTTGGCCTTAAAAATAGGCCTTCATCTGAAAACAGTGCTTTGGCCTAAGGCCTTTGCTACAAAACTTTTTATTTTCCATTACCTGTATAATAAGTGAAAAAAGAAAACTGTTATTGGCAAAAGATTGCTTTCATCTTTTTTATTTTTATTTTGAGGAGGTAAAAAGAGGGGACATATCATTTACTTCTGTCTCTCACATTCTCCTTTCCGCCTCTTCCATTTTTAATTTAATAGCATAAATCATGGCAGGATGTTTCTAAGGACAGTTTACCAACAGTATTAATTGGCTTTCTCAAAGCTTTTTCTGTGGCCATCCCTGGTTTAATTTGTTTAAGATTTGAACAAAAGGCTAAACATTGAACACTAAACAATAAACAGTAGAAGATCCTGTTTTCTTGAAGCAATTATCATTTTATACCCAACAATTACTTTTTTGTGGCATTTTTTTAAAAACAACTAATTACGCGGGGACCATATGAGAGCACACTCAATAAGTGGTTCTTCATGTTCTCGGTATGGTGCCAAACATGTTACCATAGACAACCCTGTGCAACATAGCCTCTGAGAAACTCTTAAATAGTGAATGTCATCTCGCCTTGACTGTCTCATCTGAGCAACCTAGGAAGAGAGATACTAAACAGAAACAGGTTCCCTTCTCTGTTTTTTCTCTCCCCCTCTCATTGTTGACTGGATTTGAACCTGGAACTTAGCTTGACTTTCTGCTGTTGATACCATACCAGATGTAGTCTGTTAAAGTGGAATGAAGGTTTGCTATAGAAGAGAATATTTGAATGAGATTTTCACAAGCGTTTTTTCTTCTTCTAATAAACTTTTATTTCATGAGGAAAATGAAACAGAGAGGAAGAATGCATTTGAAATTATATTACACAGTGAATGTCTCCAAGGCCATGAGTATTTTATGCTATTTATTAGATTTATATAGCTGCCCATCTCACCTTTTGGCTTTGTCTGTGTTGGTGACACACTGCATCTCCTGAAGGCTTACATTATTTCAACACAAATAATACCAACAGTATATGTACAACTGAATACAAAAAAGAAAGAAAGACAAAAGGAAAAGGGAAAAACACATTACAGTGCACCCCCTACCCCATGGAGACCTTTCCTCTCCCCTTATATTTCTTAGATATACAATATATTCCAATTGTGCCCTTATACCCTCAAAAACAACATATATTCTTGAGTAGGTTTATTCCCTTTGCCTTCCACCAACACTGATTTTATAAAATCCCTCCATATTTCATTATGATTATTTACTTTAATTTATCATTTGTTGCCATACTCCAAAATTCATTATAACACTCATTTCTTTGAATATCCCAATTTTGTCCCCAATATTTAGCCATCACTAATCTAGCTCTTGTTATTAAATTTACAATAAATTCTTTTCTTGTTTCATTTATATCCATTTTTCCACCAGCAACAATAACGCAATCCTCAGTGGCATTTCTAGATTTACATTCAACAGTGCTCTAATTTCTCTAAACACCACGTCCCATATTTTTTGTGCACTAGTCACTTAAATTTTTAGGTGCTTAAAATTTACTGTAACTTATAACCATAATAATGGAATGATTATAAACATGTTTATGACCCCCACCCCCCCAATGTCCCTATTTTGTTTGATATAAAAGAAAGTTATTTAGTGAAGTATTGGAGTGGAACATAAAGTGCCAAAGGTTGAGAACCATTTAAGGTGCTAAATAATATCAAAATTTTCCAAACTATGGAGGGCTGAAACATACTAATTCTCTGAATAGAATAAAATTTCTAAAATTGTGGGATTCCAAGCCCTGAATAGAATGGGACTTAATATGTAATAGTTAAAACTCATAATTGTGAAGGTAATCCAGCAACATAATTCTTGCTCACTGTTACCCGAAAAAAATAATTCGCCTGCCTTTTGGTTTTTAAAATGCTGCCATTTTGTGGGCTTTTCTAGTCTTTACAGGAAAAATAGACATTGGGGTTATCACAACTGGGTGTTCTTTATGCAATTCTACATCTTCCTTTTGTCCTCTAAGAATTCAGAATGTTCCCTTCTGCTAACTTTCTGGAAAAAATTAAAAGCTTTTATATTATTTTTGGTTAATTTTACTGCATGGTGCATTTAAATAAGCTTTAATTAGTGTTACTATTTTATTGGTAATGTTCTATTTATTACAAGTAATTGAACAACATTAAATAATTATCACTAAAAGAAGGTCTAGGAGTATTCTTGGTCATTTCTGGATTGTTTTTGAAAGCACTTATAAAGAGCTACAGTGAATGCAATAAATTATCTTCAAAGCAAAGGATATAATTTTATTATTATTATTTTTGGTTGTTTATAGAGACGGTTTCACATGACACCGATGATGTTTTTGGGCTTCAAGGACAAGTTGAACACAAGTTGAAATTCCTCCGAAAGTATGTGCCAAAAGATGTCAAGCTCGTACTTATTGGACACTCAATTGGCAGTTATATTGCTCTTAAAATTATGAAACAATCACCAGAACCAGAGGTATGTAAGAGATATATAAACTTTTTCTTTCCCCAATTCGCCTAAACTGATCTTAATTCTTAGTCACAGAGATGGTCCTAACAGGAAAGAGATAATAGAGGAGGAGGAGGAGGAGGAGGAGGAGGAGGAGGAGGAGGATATAGTTTTTCTGGGAGATTCCAATTATATATTTTTTAACTTTCTTTGTATCTGTGCTATAGAGGATATAATCATCAGCAATCCTTGAGACCATAAACCCTTCACCCAAATCTGTTCAAAACATTATTAAACTTTTGAATATGCGTTGTTTTTTAACAAACACCTCTGGTGGGACTGGAACTCAGTAAGTTGATGATGAAGAATAGGGAAACTAGAATAGTCCAATTTCCTCCACTTGAAGGAAGTCTCACAGATTGTAGAGAAGGGATTTCACCAAGCATCACAGTAATACGAAAGAAAGTCATACTATCACAGAGGCAAGGAATCTAGTGGATTCCCCAAAAGAGCAAGAGATGTGTGATGGTGATGGTGATGGGTGACTCCCTGTTGAGAAGAAGAATCAGCAGCCTGCAGATCAGACATCCTATCAAAACAGTAAGTTGTCCCCTAGGTATGAAGATGTGACCCAAACAATCAGATCTATTAACCATTATTTCATGCTGAAATAAGTGACACTGACAGAGAGAGCTTGGAAAGAATACTGAAAGATGATGTGTCTTTCAAGTCTATGAGCAAAATAACCTGGGTCACAGGCAGGGGTGAAATTCAGCAGGTTCTGACAGGTTCTGGAGAACCNGTCTCTTAGCTGGGTAGTTGAGATTTTGCATGATGTCTATTTTGAACAGGGCAATAAATGCAAATAACAATTGGTCCCCAAGGTTCTATTTTCAAAAGTTTTACAGGGGGCCACAAATACGTCCTCCTACTCTATCAGATTTTTGAATGGGATTATGAAATAGTGAGAACTTCGACTGTTCACAGAGCTTTGAATGTATCATTGGATTTTAATCTTGTGGAACCAGACACCTTAAATTCCTTTTTTAGCCACCCTTAGGCCCAATACAGATCACTAGCCGTAGTGCTACAAACTACTGTAAAATGAATGTCCTTACTTTGCGATAGGTTAATTTGTTCATTATGCTACCAAGGACAATTTTCTCACATTTTGTGGCAGAAACACTGGACAAGTGTTTGTCTTGCTTAAAAGAACAAAGGCAATTGAATAAGCAATCTAAGGTACTGAGTGCTCTTTTTGACAGCATTTCTGTTGTCTTTATTAAAAAGTGTATTTACATTTGTGCTCCTTGTTTCTACCCGTTCAATGTATGTTTCAGTATCAGTAGCTGTTGTAATAAATGATTTATATGATTATCTTTTATAATTGCTCTTTTTCTGCTCCTCCCTATGCTGTATTTTGTCCTATTTTGTCCATTATATAAAGAAAAACTCAGGTAGTGATACACTGTATCAGAAGATAGAAATCTTCCCTGTCAGGAAAAAAAAATCACAAGTATTAAAATCTACACTGAAAGATTGACTACAAAGCTTAACAAATGTTGATTTCTTTGCAAGTCATTGACTATAAAATGATACTGTGTTGCTGATACAAATGAGACAAATATTCTATACTCCCCCAGTGAAATGAATGGGGAAGAATGAAAATCTGTCAAGGATTTAACAGCATAAAATCTTTGTTTTTACCTTTGTTGGCTCTTCCAAAGAATATCAGTTAAAAAAAAGACAAGAACCATGTTATTCAAAGAGCATTTACTTAACTCAGTTCTTTTAAATACATTCTTTTTCATATTTTAGAAATACATGCCTAGCATGTGAATTTTAAAAAAAATCTTTTAAAAATTGTTTTGGTTAATGNAGGGCCGGAGCTGCCACAGAGAAGGCCCTCCCCCGGGTCGTAGCCAGGTGGCATTGGTTGGTAGACGGGCCCCGGAGGAGGCCAACCCTGTGTGATCTAATGGGTCTTTGGGAGGTAACTGAAGATTGTTAAATCTTCTGCAAGAATAAACTACATCAGACTTTGGATGGACATGTGGTTGCATCATCCTGATTGCTCTGAAGAGAAATTTTGTATCTTGTTCCCTCAGGATGGAGCTGGATTTCTCCCCTGGCAGGAATGGGGCTCACTGTTGCAAAATGCAGCAAACAATATACTCAGGGTCAAATAGTGCCATGATATTTTCTGGTTGTATTACTAAAAGGCATTCATTGGTAAAGACTGATAAGAGTGTCAGAGTTCTAAAAGAAAGGTTAACCCTTCCTCTTTCGTGGTAATCTTAAGGAATATCTCCCCCCCCCCCCGCCCCATATGTCATTTGCAAGGAGCAGGAGGAGCACTCCTCCAAAGCAATATTGTACATGATTAGTCTCAAAATCCAATAGGGAGCAAATGGAGTGGATTCCCTCCAGGCCTGATCTAATCCCATTGATTGAAGTATTTCTTTTTAATAAAAAAGTTGGCACTGAAGAGTTTGAATTTGGCAAATTAAATCTGAGAAATTATTTTCCTTGACAAAGTTTAAAATAAGTATGATTTTTTTTCCATTACATTAATTTGCTTAAGCAACTTTTCCAGACATTAATGTACTAGGAATGAAAGCCTTCAATTGTTATCCTGCTAATTGATTTTTTTTCCCCAGTTCACATGCAATAAAATATCAGATGCTTGATCTGACAATGTGATTAGGCTTTATTTTACATTATGCAAACATTACATTCTGTGCTTCTCATATTGTAAATTACAAGTTGCAATTCTGATAAGAATTAGTGCCTCTTCTGCAAGCATTTAATAACATAGGAAGCTGTTGTTAACCTTACTTACTCCCTACATGAGAATTTCTGAAAACATCATGTAGGAGTTGACAAAACTCCTTTTGTATCTTGTTTGACCAGAAAATTGTGGGCAGGTTCATTTCTTTATAAAGCCAGTGATTATTCATAGCTAACTGGCTACCTTTAAACTCTCTTTATTTTCTCTTCAGCAACAAGCATGAACTCAGATTCCAAAGAGCAAGATTTGATACATGAAGAGTTCACTTACATTTCTGGAACCCCGACACAGATTCTCAAGTGTGGCCCTTGGCAAGATCTCTGGAATGATAAACCGGCACCCAGACTTCTATTTCTAGTTATCCCTGGTAAGTTTTACATGGTGATGGTTTGATATACACATCTTGATCGAATCGGTTCTAGAAAATGGAAAGGGGAAGGCCTGAGTATAATTCCATAGAACAAATTAATAAAGACTTCTATTCTGAAAGGGCAGAGGGGATATGGTGATAAAGGATTGAGATACTGGCTGGAAGGGGGAAAAAACCCAAGGGACATTTTCTGATTTATCCCTATGGAGCTACTGGTGCTAGTATGAGGGTCATTTTCATTTTAGTTGCTCAGTTATGGGGTAAAGAATATTAAGTGACAATTCTGCAGAATAGGAGAAGGCCAGTTATAATCAAGTCATCCTTTTTTAAAAAGGGAAACAGCAGAGACTGGAGTGGGGGGGGGATATTTATTTTAGTAGTGGAGTAAATTTTTCAGTGTCTTGCAAGGCTAAAAGTGTCTCTATTTCTTCCTGCTGGAATTGTTCATGATTATTGTCAGATAGTGGTTTTGGAGTAGAAAAGCTTTTTTCTGTTTTAGTGATTGAATATAGTGGCCACAGGTGAACAGATATTGCCTAGAGTTCTAGTTTTCTCATTGAAAAAAGGATAAACTTATTTTCTCAAGTTTAAGCATCCCTATTGATGAGTGAGCTGTTCAGACTAAAGGGTTATTAACGCTTTAAAATTGGATACCGTAACATTATGAACTAAGCAGGAACAAAATATGCAGATCCAGGAACAAACATGTTCCTTCATAAGTATCTATGCAACATGCACTTCAAACAAAATAAATCCTTAACTTATGATCAGTTACTTCACGACCATTCTAAGTGGATTTCCCAGAGCTACTTACAACCTCGGTATGGAATTAAAACCATTGCAACGTGTGATTGCATTTTGGAGGCTTGGCAGTTGACTTAGCTTTGTGAAGTTTGCAGTGTTCTTTGATCACATAACCACAATTTGTGATATTTTTGCCGGTTTCTGGCGTTTACTTTCCAGCAAAAATCGCCCATTGCGGGAAAAAGATTCATTTAATGACCACCATATTCATTTAATGACTGTATCATTTGCTTAATGATTGGCATAAAAATGGTTGTGTGATGCCTTGATTACATCCCCAAAGATTTACAACTTAATTCCAGACTCAATAATGATAGTAAGGTTCAAGTCCACCCTCAGCCATGGAACTTCACTGGGTGACTTTGAGCCAGTGTTTCTCACTCAACCCAACCAACCTCACAGGGTTGCTGTTTTGAGAAAGAACAAGGAGGAAGAAACACCGTGCATGCCACTTTCTGCTCCAAAATGAAAGGTAGAATATACTTTTAAATAAATACATTCATTTATTCCCAACTACTATTTCTGATTTCAACAGAATGGTCAGCAGTGTCTCTGAAAGGAACATGAGTTCAGAGGTAGAATCCCAATGAAGTGCCAAGTTTAATTTTTCCGAGTTCTCCCAAATAAAGATGGGAAGCACTCCAGTGATTCACGTGACCTGTCAAAACCGCGTTCCACAAAAGCGCGGTCGACGAAATCGCGTATGTGACATCATCACAACGCGACGAAAAAGATCGAAAAATTGAAATAAAAATTAAATTACAGCAAGCCGATTCACATAAAGGTAAGCGTTAGGTTAAGGGTTAGGTTAGGATTAGGTTAAGGGTTAGGGTTAGGGTTAGAGCGTTAGCGTTAGGTTAAGGGTTAGCATTAGGTTTTTCGTTAGGTTAAGGGTTAAGTTTAGGGTTAGGTTTAGGGTTAGGTTTAGGGTTAGGTTTAGGGTTAAGTTTAGGGTTA